TGATACATGATGATGATACATGATGATGATACATGGTGATGATACATGATGACGATACATGATGATGGTACATGATGATGATACATCATGATGATGATACATGATGATGATGTCAGATACATGACCTATAAAACAACCAATGACTTACTTTTTTAAGGTTTTCTCCAGCTGATCTAGGAATTCATTAACATACACTATTGGATAAAGCAAACATCAACAATTTATTAAGAGTATTAAGTAACAATAACGTACTGTTGCGTACCCTAAAAGTGGGCTTAGGCTCACCCCCTCCTAGCCTCTCCCTATCTATTGTCCCTGACAATTAAAACTTGACAAGTGTCAAACTCCACCCACCAATATTATCTGGTTGACCAACGCTGAACCCATGATCCTCTGCCATGTGAGAAAAAAGCAAGCTCCTGTCAATCAAATCAATAAAAAATGCTGTCATACAAATTAGCATGAAACTCGTTGTGCACCTCTAGAAAGTTTTTTTACCACCATTATTCCCTGTACGTGGCTCTTCCATGAGATTTGCTTCACATGCACTAATACTACATCCATTATATTTATGACACACAACACTCAACTCAAACAAAAGGACAAACTCTACCCAACAAACTTTACTCAGATGCAATACTGAGTCCAGGAATCAAGCCCCAAAGATGAGAGGTGAGGGTACTACTGCTAATCTGCCCTTGATTATTACCCAAGTATGCAAGAGGCAAAGATATTCAATGATATAAAGTTATAAGATCTCTACCTGTTTTCTTCAAAATGTTGCTTACAGAACAAACATGTCCTTGAAAAGTGAGTGTCACTTCTTTCTCTCTGCTGTGACTCAAGCACTTTTTCCTGTTCAAATATGACAATAAAAAGCATGAATACTTTGTATAATTGAATTAATGGGGATCGAGATTGGAGTAGCTTGGTGGCACTGGCCTCTCACTACTGGGGTTTTGGGGATCGAACAAATTGGGTGACTCCCAAATGGTAGGTAACCCAAGAAAAGAGGGGGAAAAAAAATGGGTGTCAGTGAAGCTAGGTATAAAGTAATAGTATTGCCAAAAGTGCCTCATGGAATATCCCATGGTATTTTATGAAAAAGCATTATAAACCTATTTCATCCCATTTCATAGGAAATATCAGTGTATGATAGGAAAAAAAACAACAGTGGAACGACAAATATACAATGGTATTTTAAAAGAAATCATCGTAAATCTACTTCATCCCATTCCATATGGAAATATCAGTGTATGATAGAAAAAAAAAACAGTGGAACAACGACAAATATACARTGGTTTTCCTGCATTCTTATTGGCTGTATTTTCATGGTATATGGGATAAATAGATTTAATATTTCTATACATACAAGTCGTATCTGTTGTAGTTTCTCTCTCAGCTCCCTGTCCTCTGGTAAAGCATCACACAGAAGATAATACTGGACCTTTGGACCAATATCTGGCATTAAAATGAAAAATAAATATGCATTTTAGAACTTTCTTGCATTTCTGCAATCCAGGCAACTTCAGAATCTGCATGCATAGATTTTGTGACTCCTATCCGTTTTCGTAATGTTTTGATGGGAGAACCTAAAAATTTCATCATTTTGGAAATTCTTGAGGAAAAGCAGACATGCAATTAGTGCATGTTTAATGAATAGTTAATATGATACATCTCGGACATGTCAACAACTTGTTTTGAAATTGATTTTTTCTCTTCTGTCAGTCAAAAATAATCAGTTGGTACCTTTACATTTTCAACTGGCATTTAAATGAAAAACCAAATTTCATTAGTCAACTTGCAACTTCCGAGGTTTCATAATATGCAAAATCAGAGCAAGTCTTTAACTTTTACTTGAAGGACAATTTGTTACTTACCACTAGGCTTGCTGTTGATGTTAATCACGGAACAGAATTCTGTTATTGGTTCCTCTTTGAACCTCTTCTTCCAATGCTGACAGTATCTATATCAATGAGATAAATAAGTTGTAAAGTAGCACAGTTTATTATGACCATCCCTGCTTGTTTGTCTAGAGCTAAAATATTGAAAGATATCCAAGAATATGAAATAAATCAGCTCATTGGAATGCCCTGGGACCTATAAAAAGCTTGTGCTCACTGTCCCATTTCCCAGCTAGAATCTCAAAATCCCAGTCCTACTGATCAGAAAGGAAATTATGGAGAGAACCCATTCTATTTCCCATTTTCATTTACCAAAATCCCATCACCACTGCATCAAATCCCATTTTTAATGCGAATCCCATTCCCATTCAACCCCTTTCAGTTAGTACCCTCTGCAAAAAAACTTAATTTAAATAATAAATTCAACTTTACCTTCTAAAATCACAGACCTGAGAGACCTGTGATATAATCAACTGATGGTCGTTCAGCATGTGGTGTAGTAAAGGGTCGTTCTTTACTTCTGTGTTAGCAAACAATTTATCGCAAAACATGCACGAAATTTTGTCGTCTTTATCACGATTTTCAGAACTTGAAGTTGCTGCAAAAAGCAGAGGTCCCATGACGTGTTTGCCATTACTCTCTTCTGTATCTAAGAAGGATAGCAAGATGTGTCAAGTAGTGRTCGTAATCCCTGATATAGTTGCGTTTACAGCTCTGTTCTTACCGTTTTTTGGGGCAAAGTTTAGTTTTTCTTCCAACTTGTTGTCCTCCATGTTGGATTTATCAATACGTACCACAGGAGGCCCAGGGCTGAAAATTCATTTATAACACAGGATACCCGCCCAGAATGTGTCATGTATGTTAGCTGCGTACTTGCATTGGGCGCAGTTTTAACGTTCTTTTCCCATTTTCGACTGGGAAGACGCGCCCAAGGTAAAGAGATTCAATTAGAAAGAAATAACCGAGTACATTTTAAAATATTTAGCTTTTCAAAATCCAACTGTAGAATCATGTTTTTTTGCAATTTTTTTCTCATCCTTTTTTGATTCCTTTCATTTCCCTTTCATTCAAAATCCCTCCTCCCCTGTAACTAAAAATCAGGTTGCTTAATAAGTTCCTCCAGAATTTCCCTATTTCACTATGATGTCACTGCTTGTTTATGTGGGGGATAGAATCACCAAATCCAATAGAAAATTCAACAAAATTTGCTCCTAGTGAAACAGTTTAATCTAAAATGGCCTGGTTTTCAGATATAATGTGTGTTAATATTTACTAAAAAATATTCTGGGAGTTTGCTGACTATTCTACTTCTCTTCGTGGATTGATAGGGGTTTTAGAACAATTTTTGGTGAATTTGCATTGATTTAACCTCCTCGGACGACCATGATCCTTTGCGTTTAAACAATAGATTGTTTTGATGTGACTTCATAGTGTAATAGGGCAATTAGTGACCTCAAGAAGAAGACACTTTTAATCAAGGAGGGAGGGATAAATAAGGTCCCTTTTGCTCAAAACTATCAGTAGAGTGAAGGCATTAATTAACCCATGAAATGAAAAATACTAGTCAACATGTAATAGTCAAATAGACACAAAAGAAAACAATGGAATTAGGGTCTACTAAAGTGTGCTAGTCTAATATCTATTTCACAGGTTTAATGACTTCACTCTATATCAATAGTAACTGTCACCCCCTTCTTCCTCAAATTCCTGCTAAAACCTTTGTAATAATCACCCCTGCTTCTAAAGTTCCTTCATGTATTTACAAAAGAAAAAGACCCTTGGAAATTTCAAACAGACCCCTTGGAACACACTCCAGGTTCTTACTAATACATCTCACATTTGGAGGACAAAACAAATTACTAGCATTAGAAAAGAATCCCCTGTTTTTGTCCTCCAAACTGAGCTCAGTAATTTTTGCAAGCTGTCTGTAATCTTTCATGAACAATTTATAGAAGATTATAACCTTTTTAAACCCTCCCCACCCCCTTGAATACGCATCAGCTACTCCGAGAAATAAACATATCTATATATGTGTGTGAATTTGTTATTGCAGTTCACCAATATTTAGTACTACAGTGGAGCAGCTTAATCTGGTTGACAAATCGAAAGCAAGGAGTATAGTTTCATAAAGTTATGTACCGTCTATGAATTTGAGACCTTCTCAAACTGCCCCTTTCCATTACAAAATTGCATCCCTATGCATGGGGGAGGTATATTGCTAATATTCTTTCCAAACATACAATTACCAGTGAAGCTACAGCACAGAACACAACACAAAGCACAAATAAAAATGGTTCTGTTTATATTGTTGTTCTGCTTTTTTGGGATTTCTATGATTATATAAAATACCTGATTTTATTAGGAAATAAATAATATATTCAATAAAATTTGCTTTTTATAAATAAAACGTTTCTATAAATAGTTTTCTTTTTTCTTCTAAGTTGTGGACTTAAAACTCTGCCAAAATCCTACTTCTGGCGAAGTCTACGCTTCACATAAAAAGTAAGTTTTCTGATTCAGGATGCATTTATCTTTAATTGCTGTTTCACTAGAGGTCATTTCCTGCCTCGTGCAGAATGTTCATCAGCTGAATCTCAAGTTTTCAATATAATCCTTGTTCACAACAAGCAAAATTCAAAGACTTTAATCAGCTGATTGAAACCCTGCAATTTATACCAAGTACTATTCAAGTATGTCATGTATTTGCGAAACCAYATTTGCTACCTTCATTCCATGAAGCTGTATTCTGATCCATTTGTGGAATCTCATATTAAATCTGGTACCAACTGGAGAAAAAGTAGTACCCAATTTCCATAGTAATGGGTAGACTCGTCCAAGAAAAACCACAGGGAATAATAAGGGTTTTCAGTGAGCCTACTTGCCGTAACAGGGATTCCCAATATCTTGAAGAACAGAATAACAAACTCAGTGGTAATGATATGTTTAAGACCCAGGGCAAAAGAATCTGAAGACCAAAAGCATATGTCGAGTGTGAAGAAACACAATTTGCAGTGTGCCAGCACTTAGATTTCGCTGCAAAGCAGGAACAGTGACATTGCCATCACATTCAGGTTCCAATACTTGTACGAGAGCAGTGAAATAATAAATTCTTAATACACACATATTTTTCCAGTGGAAAATAGAAAGCTGATGCATCCTTGGGATGTGTAGTATCAGGTTACTTTGAAGAACAATAATTTCTGCCTCATCTTGAAATAAATAGGTTGATAATTCGACAATTTTCATCAAACAATTCTCCATCTTTCTTTGACTTCAGACGTTCAGTTTAATGAGTACATGTCGCAAGTCTTATTGTACAAGTTCACATTTACGCTCATCAATCAGATGGCAGAATATGCTGGATGCTGACATTGCAAGTCACTGGACATGTTTTTACAATCACTATACCATATGAACTTATTTTAAGTCTTGATATAAAGACTTCTAACCAACACTTATTAAACTAAAATAAACCTATGAATATATAACTCCAAAGAGCTATGTATCTACAACCTATTTGATCAATGAATATTGCTACGAGCAAGTAAAATCATTACAAACCGGATTCTAAAATCAAAAATTAAAACAATTAGGTGATTATATTTAGATGTCATTTGTACGATTTCAGGTTCTTTTTTTCATGTTTCTTTGCAAGGTGAAAATGCTGCTGCACTAATGTCCTTTGCCTGGTATTTTAATCATCTTTTATGCAAGCAAAGAAATGGATAATCCATTAACGAACCCATAAAGATCAAAATAATCTAGCTCCACAAAAATTATGCTACAATTATCATTATTTGGCCTTCTTTTCTAAGCCTTTCTTAAATTGAATGTTATCCTCTTTGACTTGTTGTTCGTGAATGTTAGTGCTAGTCTTGAGCTAATATTTTCATCAATATTACAACCTTCTTTAAACTTTTTTCCTATGAAAAGCTAGACTAAAAATGGCAATTCCAAAATGCTTTATCTTGGACTAAAATCTAGAATAAGAATTTGCTGTGCTGTACTTCATCAGTGGCTACAAAATTATTTGTTTTAAGGAATACCCGAAATTTATCTTCAACATCAAGAACTACAGTTTATAATTTAGACATTTTCCAAGTTAGGTTTAGAAATTATTCTAGCAGTTCTACTGAAAGATATGTTAYGTGTATGAGATGAGTTTAAGTTTCATAGAGTATTCAAAAATATATGGGGGTGCCATTCAGTTTACTTATGTTGTCGCAACAACGATCAACATCAAAACAGCACAAGRCTCCAATAAGGTACCTAATATTATTGTGAACTCATCAAATTGCATGCTTTGCTTAAGAAATGAAGATAATGGACGTCATTTAAGCTCCAAAAATTCCCATACATTTTCTCTCATTTTGTACTGGTTCCAATCACTTTAGGACCAGCAGGAAATATGAGAAAATGTATGGGGAGAAATCTCAGGGGTTTTTTTTTCTCAATTGCTCTGAAATTCATATATCATATTTTTATAAGCAATTTCTTATAGTTAAAGTTCTTAAAAAATATTTTTGGTATGTGATCACTCTGTGAGGTAAAGACTATTTAGAGCTAACTTAATTGTGTGTCTTTATATAAAAGATACTGAAACAGCACCCCATTTTTTTCAATATTCTATGATACATATGAAAATAGTTACAGTTGATTTCGCAAACCTTTGGCCACTGTTTCCAAAGTTTGTTTGCAAGTTCACTATTTGGTACAAACTTCAGGTTTAAAGTAAAATTGATTAAAGATCTGTCAAACTGGTAATACTGTAGCTTCAAAACTTATCAAATCTACCGTTCAAAGTCAATTTTCAAAATAAATTTCTGGAATAAATTTTTTGAAAAGTACAATAGATTTAAAGATGCAATCCCAGTAAATATATATGAAYATTAGACATAAACAAGTCATGGTCACCAACTTTCACACTGAAGTTTGCACCAACTTGGAAATTTGTGAACAAACTTTGGAATCTGAGTGGCCGAAGTTTTCTGAAACCAACTGTAAAGAAAACATATATTTGTTAGTTAACTATTTTAGTAGACTTTGAAAAAGTTCATATTACTTAGGAAGCTGAAACACATAAGTTCATCACAGCAACTTCAAGGTTAAAAGATACCACATATCAAGAGTTCATAGGTAGACTTTTCCAAGGAGATTCCAAGACTTGTCCRTATGGTATGCAAGGTAGAACAGTTYGTATTTCCATTGGTAGAAAATGGAAAAAAAGAGATTTTTGAACAAATACAAAGCAACAGTTTATCAAGTCTCTTTTTGATGATCACGACAACAGAATATGACAAATCTTGAAAAAAGACAAAATGAAGGCTTCTTTATGACACTTTGATGAGAATATAAGATAATTAAGCACTACCACGCACAACAACAACAACCAAGTGATCTTCTCTTGATGGTTCTTGCGGCAAATGAGGTGCAATGCGTAAGAGATGATCATGCGAAAACTGACAAGGAGGAAAAGCATGAAGAACACCCACGTCATCCTTGGCATTACCACTAGTACTTTGCAATGCAGGAAGATTGATAACTCCTGCAGCTTGTTTCTGTTTCAGGTAACTCATCAAATTTCGCAGAGGTCTTTGTTGCAAATCTTCACCTTCCTTCGCATCAACAACTTGATTTTGAGCTCCAGGTAAAGCAAGCAGCAAGCAATAACCAGAAGCACCAGCAGAATTAATCCGGCGAGACACTTCTTCCAGTTTTGGTTGATCAAGACGCAAGCGCTGAGTAATCCTTAAAGCATTTTTTGAAGATCCGTCATTACGAAGTGAGTCCGCAACCTCAGGGTTTCCACCAACAAGATGCATACGTACAGGAAAAGCACTATTCTTGAGAATCAAAGCTCCTTTCCACGCAACAGCAAATCTCTTAGCAAGATTTTGAAGGTTCTCAGTAGTGGCTGACCCAGCTGTATCCACAGAAGATTTATCCTCTTTAGTTCTTCCATCTTTGTCTTTCTTTCCTTTTTTGTTAACAGATGCTTCATCAGAACTTTTATGTTTCTCATCATCTTCAAGGGCACTTATATTTCCTGCACGCGAATGACTGAAGTGGCTGTCTGAAGAAGATCCTGAATGACGTCTGACATCTGGTGAAATGCGTTTAGCATTAGAAGTGTGATTGGGTGATGGAGAATGTGTCCTTGCCTTTTTGTGAGGTTTTATTTGAATGCCTTCGTCTCTGAATCCTTTGGTTTGGTAAGGACCTCTTTGCTTATGATTCCTGTTTTCATTAACTATTTTTCCAGGTGAATTCTCGTAAAAATCATTTGGAGGAGTTTGTGGTCCACGGCAGCGATAGGGGGGCTTGTCTTGTGAGCGACGTTCCCAATCCTCTGACTCAACATAATGAGTATTCCGCTCATGAGCCCAACTGTCAGAACCAAACTTTGAGGAATGAAGATTATCATCTGAACGATCAACGTTACGAGGTTGGAAACCATCATTTTCTTTCCAATTTCTATAATTATCATCTCCATCACGCCTCTCTGTTCTTCTATATGGAGAAGGCTCTCTTTTTGGGTCCAAAAACAAGTGATCATCCCTATAATCACGCTCTGATAAGTGAGAAGAGTATGCACTATCAATAGGATCAATATCGTTAGCTCTTCCACGAGGTGGGCTAGGGTCCCGTCGAACTTGATACAAAGGACCATAACCTTTCAAACCTTGATCTTTATCTGCAAAATCAATCCTTAGGCGACGATCACCCATCTGGAAACCTCTCATTTCGCGTGCAGCCACGGATGCAGCGTCTAAACTATCGTACAAAATATAAGCATGATCATCACCTTTATGGTAATCAGTACGTCTGATTGCGCCAAAACGGTCGAACTCCCGTTCCAACTCGGAAATAGAGGTCCAATGGCCTAGACCCCCAACCCACAAGCGAGTAGTTTGTTGACTCCTTCCGTATCCAATTTTAACGCGATTTCGTCCAATGTATTCTGCTTGCATTTCAACTTTAGCTTTGGCAGCAACGTCGAGATCAGCAAATTTCACGAATGCGTATGTATTTCCTTGTCCGCGAGCTGGGCGCTTGATGTCCACATCCAAAACCACTCCAAATTTTTCAAAAGCGCGGCGAAGCTCTTGGCTCGAAACACTGGTCTCTAGATTGCCAACGAACAGCGTCCGAGTCGCTTTTGGATCTTCTTCTGGAGGGATATATTCCTGTTGTGGAGGGGTAAAAGCATCTCCTCCCCCTCTACCACGGCGATCGTATTCACCGCGGTTACGATCAAACTCAAAGTAGGGATTATTAGCACGTTGTGTAGTTCTACGTGGTGGAGAGGAAGAACGTCTGGAAAAGTGAAAGTTTTCGCCCATTGACACAGGGCTGTAGCTCCTTCGACTCGAAGTCTTTTCCGGATAAATTCTGTAGTCAATACGCACTGGCCGATCATAGATCAATACACGTCCTCGTCGTTCTAAAACTCTTTTGGCTTCCTTCGCGTCGTCTACCGTTCGAAAGTACACAACTGCGTAACGTTCGTTACCGCGACCAAACAAGTTCACYGAGACTTCACCGAATTTTTTCAACTCGTGAAAAATCGCATCCTTCATTTGTGGGTCCCCAACATGGCTAGAAAGGTTTGTTATCCGCAGATGAGGGTCCACATCGCGATCGACGCGTTTCTGATGAAAAGGATAGTTATTTTCGTTTCGCATGTTAACATTAGAGGTCCTTTTGTACGTTCTGTCGTCTGTTTTTCGTGTAAGAGACGAACTTCGGTGCACAGGGGAGCCACTATCCCGCGCACTTTCCGGCGACGAAATTCTCTCTCGAAGCCCATTATCTCCTAAATCAATCCTAGAACGACTCCGTTTTGATTTGCCATGAATTTCTGAATCCGAAGATCTCTTCATGACCATCATATGTCCACCAATCTTCACAATCAACAACTTGTTTTACTTTTCGAATCCAAGATGGCCGCTTGAAATTTGATGTGATCGGACTCAGAGTGACGTACACGTGGGAATAGTATTTTTTGGGAAGAATTGAGCTTTTGATCACATGCGTGACAGAAGCTTACTCCAGCAAAAAAACGCTTAGAAAAACATTGAAATACAACCAAAAAATTAAATGAGACTATGATTATTATACTTTAATTTTTTTAATGACTTTTATAGTTTTGAAGTAGAATTTCTTGGTCTTATAGAGAATTTTTTAGTGAACAGGTGGTTGATAGAGGGGTGTTTTCTTGTTAACTTGGTTTCCTTCCAATGACATTACCGCTTGGAAGTCACATGGTTGTTTTATAACAATTCACAGGAAATGACCACTCAACACCAACAATACAAAACAAAACACACAGTATTTTCCTTAGTATTTGACCGATAGTTTCGCTTTCGACTTACAAAAGAAAAATATTCCTCTTTCGGTCTGTCCTCCATCCTCCATCTTCCTATTGAGAACTTCAATCATCTTTCAACCGATATTCAAATTTGAGCAGTTTCCGCGTAACATAACACACCCTTTTTTCTGGGTGATTCGACAGGTGTGAAATAAAAAATAACCAGCACTGGGTGATTGTTAGAAAAAATAATAAAATCAATCTGTATAACTTTTTAATTGAAAATAATATGTTTGATCGACATATAAATGTCCGTCAAAAACAGGAATGCTTTGACTAAAGGCAATAACGAAATTTAAAGAATGAATTATAAAGGATTTTAAAATAACTGAATAGATAAGTGGTAGCTAGGAGCAATAAAGAAGTCTTGTGCATATTAGTTTGTAAGATTTACGTGGACGTTTAGTTCAAAGTGCTTAGAAAAGGTATCGTTAGCGATTAAGATTTGAGAGAGAAAGAGGAAAGCAATAGATAACTGGCGACAAGCCGTTAAACTGAAACGAAAACTTTTTCGTTCGTCGCTACCGGAATATTTAAAAAATAAAATAAAAATATATGATGGCAACTCAATTAATATAGTATTGCTAATCCGGACATAATTTTTTGACTTCAATGTCTTAGTAAAGAAAAAAAAAAAAAAAAAAAWACAAGAAAAAACTGGAATGGAAAGAAAAGTATGAAAAATTGCAATAAGATACGAAATTGCAAGAAGAAAAAGCYGGGGAAAAAAGCAAAAAAAAAATTTTTTTTTTAAAGAATCCAATGAAACATCTACAAATCACCTAAATAAAAAACTTAGAAAACCCTCTAGAATGTCAAATGAGGGGGTCTACTGGTCGACAAATTTCGCAAATCGTACAATTACGGATTGACGGATTTCTGCGATTTCTCAACTACTAGTAAAACGAATTCTCACTCGAATCACCGAGTGATCTACCTTCGTGGAAAAACTTCAAACGATTATTCTCAGTTTTAATAGATTTCAAAACTCAATCCCATAGAAGGCAGCTGCCAAATTATTTGCAGATTCGGCCGGATTTGGGTTTTTTTTCGGATCGACAGATTCCAGGTGATTAATTAATTTATCTATATGTTTATTTTCGGCAGTCTCTAAATTTTATTACTATTCTGGAAATTTTTTTTGCTTTTTTCATGCTCCATTCACTAGGTAACACAGCATGCAGAAATACTTGAAGAAAAATTTAACAGTTAACTGACAATTATTGGCCTAAAAATTATTAGTTAACTGTCAATCGGGTACTCCTATCCACACCCCCTTGTAATAGGCCCCTTGCATGTGACGTCAAAGCAGCTCAATTTGGAGGATGAAACAAAAGAATTCCAATCTCCTGAGAATTGGAAACCTATTGTCATGCCCTCCAAATCGAGCTGCATTCTGATGTGCTCAAAGGATGATCAATGCAGGCTTTGTAGGCACAGATGGATTCAGCAAGGTGCTCCATAAACTAATACAGCACAGAGCTCAGCCAATTGCAGCGTGCATTGCAAGTTGACTATAGTAAATGCAATATAAAGAAATCACAAAAGTGTATACAATTTTTATTTTCAAAATTCATTTGTCCTTAATAATGTTAATATCTCAATACTGAGAAGAACATGAACAATTAGAGGAAAAAATATGAACTTCTTGGTATACTTCATAATAATAATATGAATTTATTTCTGTATTCTGAAGATTTTTATTTTTTGAGGAATGTAAGGTTGTGAAAATAAAATATTTCTGGGGAAAAAACAAATATTAAACCTTAACTTAAAGAATAGGCCCTTTTACCTTGGACATAAAATTTTCCTCTTTTAGCCCACATGTCATTCTCTTGAGAATAAAAGTATTTATTTGAGTTTGTGGAATGACTGATAGCCTGAAATGATAAAAAGATTATTCCCAAGGTAAAGAGGTATATTGAATAATATGACAATGAAATTCAATGTGGACAATGGGAATATCTAGGATTCCAAGGAGCACTCCCCATTAACCTCAATAAATCTTCCCCCCCCCCCTCCCCAATTACATGGATTTAACTAAGCTGCCAAAAAAATGAGGCTTATAGGCACACTAGGATCCCCCATACACACCCTAGCTGACTAGTATATATGCTATCATGTACTGCTACTAAGATTGATGACCATAATAAGTTTTCTATACTTCAATATTTACAATTGATATTATTAAATATTCTTCCAAGTTCTGCACCATTTTTAAAAGTTGAAAGTTATACAACAGTAGAATTGTTTTGATCTTTCATATTCTAGCTGTAGAAGTGCAAGGCCTGTGGATGCAGCTAAATTAACACCTGTAGATAACGTAACTACTTGAGAACAAGAGTGTACAGGGCCATCAAGACACAAGAAATGGATACAGCCCAATGAAGCCTCACACCAATTACTGCAGCTGGAAACAGAAATTACACAAATATCATGGCAAAGAAATGTGGCAGGGGATGATTGCAGTTGTACCTTTATTATTAGCTAAACATCTTTCCTGAACTCACTTGAGTGATCATGAAATAGTGGCTTCAAGTTCAGATTGGACTTGTTAAGATACAGCAAATGTATGAACACATCAAGACCAACCCCGACTTGGAGCCATCCTTTTGTCAATAACTTTACCACAAAGTTTTATTTGTTGCCACGGTGACTTCCACAATCATTGAGAATGCAATGGCTAAATTCGTTTAGCACAAGATATTGAAGTAGCTTCGAAACTAAGCTACTCAGAAGCAACAATATGTACTCTCAAATATTTGGTTACTACCTTCCAGCATTCAAAAAGATATGAGTTCCAAGATAAGAGTTTTTGGTGAAAGCCAAAAACACAAGAAAACATCTAAGTCTAGAAATATCTGGGCCATATAAACATTTAGAGCACTTGCTCTTACTTGTACACTACAGCAATTTCCACTTGAGAGCACCGGGCGCAGAATTTGTTGATTTTGAAACGTTCGCTATTTAGCGCATTTGAAGTGTCAGACAGTCTGTCTCGGTCGGCCAAACATTGCTCGATCGTTAAAAGAACACATTGTGTTGTGACATTTTCCCAAGAACGCCAAAGTTCTTTTAACGATTGAGCAACGTTTGGCCAACCAAGACAGACTGTCTGACACTTTAAACACTCTAAATAGCGAACGTTTCAATATCAATAAATTAGGCGCTGCGCTCAAGTGGAAATCACTGTATTTGGTCAACATTTTCAAGAAAGTGACTGATCGGCCCAACAAATTAGTACAAACTCATATCACAAGACAGACAGTCTGTCTCGGTCGGCCAAACGTTGCTCGATCGTTAAAAGAACACATTGTGTTGTGACATTTTCCCAAGAACGCCAAAGTTCTTTTAACGATCGAGCAGCGTTTGGCCAACCAAGACAGACTGTCTGACACTTTAAACACTCTAAATAGCGAACGTTTCAAAATCAACAAATTAGGCGCTGCGCTCAAATGGAAATCACTGTATTTGGTCAACATTTTCAAGAAAGTGACTGATCGGCCCAACAAATTAGTACAAACTCATATCACAAAGTTTATTTGGGGACATACATACCTTTGTAAAATACACCAAACAGTCCTTTCTTTTCAGAGAGAAAAAATGACTTGAGCTTTGGAACTCTTGTGATATAGGCACAGGTACAAATAATGAGTAGGGCACACGCTACAATGCCATCAAACGAGTAAACTGAAAAATCAAATCAAAGGTTATGAGTAGCATTCTATTATATTTGTTTGCTAAGAATGGTGTTTGCCCATTTAGGGATGCATCTGAGAGGATACTATCGAAAGAAAAACAAAAGCAACACACTGGTTGAATCAGAATGCAACTTTAGCATCTTGATTGCTTAGGAACTGACCAAGTGCATCTATACGACAATGGATGCATGCTGAGTGTTGAACGTTTTTGTTATAACACCATACCAAGACCAAAACACTTCTTTCACGAGCGAAATCATGAAATTTCTATTTTTATTTCTAGCAAAATTTTCAGTACATAGTACACACTTGTTGATCACATCATGAAGTCCACATAGTCATAAATGCATGCTCATGCACACTAATGATCCAATCAGAATATACCTAATAATGATAAGCTGTTTATGATACCTCATTATACGACACACTCAGTTTTTCCGTATATCAAAATCATTTTACGAGTGCAATTATAGAGGGATTTTTAAGTTGACTTTTAAGTTTGCTTGTTTACAATAAAAATAATTGTTTTTCATGCACTCTTTCTCAGTTTTTTCATGTCATTGTGTCATCGTGTCATTTCGTCACACTGAGACAATGTGAAATGCGCCATATAAGAACCCCATCATTATTATTATTTTTTTCGTGTCATACAATAAACAGCTTACACTGCTAGCTGTGTATTACAGTCGCATAATTCTACTTGTTCAGCTTTTTTTTTTCTCTCCACCTTGGGGCTCGAAAATATACGGCCACTTTCACTCCTAAAATTATCTGCCTGTAATACAACTAGCAGTATGCATATAGGAGGAATATAATTTAAAGAAACCAAAATACAACATAAGATTACAATCAGAAAACTATTTAAAATCATCCACAATCAAGAGAAGGGTTCTAATAATCAGACACAACATTTCTAAACCTTATTTTGACTTCTTGCCGCAGTGATAATTACAAACCTAGGGTGTAATTTTTCTTAGTGAATTGGATGGCTTAATTTCAAAGTTTACCATAATATCAATAGCTCTGACAGACGGTATATAATCGATAATATATAAATGAAATAGAAACTGTTAGCAATTTTCACTTTCTCGACATGAAAATAACAATTGGATTCTAATTAAAAAATACAAAATCATTTTTTCCAAGTGCCACGTCTGTCGAAACGACTCAACACCTCTCTTCTTATGTTGGTGAGATTTCCTTAAATTTTGTCAGATCTTTTTAAAAATTACCTGAATACCTAGTATTAAAGCCATACTTACCATTCATTTTATGTTAGCATCGTTAGAATAGCAGTAAAAGGCTTAAAAATTAGGAATACTTCGCTAAAGAAATGAAAACACTGTCGTTTTGAAGCAGAAGTGAAAAGGACGGAGAGACTGGGTCGGTGGCCTCGATGTGAACGGTCATTATTTTTTGTAATGAGGGAAGGGAGGGTGAATTGATATTGCACTCTTTTATGCAAAACCTTATAGTTAGTGAAAATCTACTTTTAGTTGTATTTACACTTTCCRTTTTTTCTTTTTTGATACAAAAATATTTTGTCTTAGTCGAAAAAATGGGCAATTTAAATTAATCTTAAATTCAAGATAAATTTCAAAAGCTAGCCAATTGGGGAGAAAAAAATCTTGGCAAAGGTGGGGAGGGTAAAAAAATTTAGTTGCTGTCTTAAATATTACAAATCTATTTCAAAGACTTAAGATTTGGAAAATCACATTCTTTATTTATAAATAATATTGAGTTAGTAGACCTAGTACAGGACACTATTTTTAATATATAAATAATGAATGGCTGTTGTTTCTGTGGGGGTGGTAGTGGAATGTGTACATGCGACGAAGCACGTTCGCCGTGACGTCATCTAGAGCATTCTGGGGGCGAATGATTCAGTTCTTCTTTCCCATCGTTGGGTAAAGTTAGTATTCAAACTATTCCCAATGTATTTACGGAACAATTCCTTACTTGATCATTATTTTAGTCTCAAAAAGAAAAGATCTATACGAGGGAGAAAATTTCATAAATTTAAATAGTATCTAAGTGAATTTTTGAAGAGATTTTTGGACGTGAAACGTGAAGTTGTTTGACTATGCCTAAAGGGAAAGGTAAACGTTCTGACCGGCAAGGCAAGTCGAAAACCCGAGGTAAAAAAATTTCTCTGTCTCCGATCATTCATCGGTTATGTCTAGTTTTTATTCTATAAGCTTATGGCGTAGATTTAGCTTTAATTTTAATGAGAGAGCTGTATTTTTGTTTGTAAACGTCTATATTGTGCTTCATTCATTCTACGCGAGTCGTTCTTGCTACTAAATTCAACACTTCCCGCTAACCGGTGTATGTTGATTTTATATTTTGTATTTTTAATTGTAAGTTAGATATTCAAACTGTGTTCTTTTATGTACTTGATAGCTTCTCCTCGAAGGAGTGAGGAAAGTCTTGCAGTCGAAGATGACGAAGCAATGAGTACAACAAGCCAGAATTCTTTGGAAACTCGAAGCGGTGATGGTACGTCTTCCCGCATCACGTGTGTCTAAAACCAAGCAAAAAACCTCAACTTTACTTATTTTTATTAACCGACGTTTCCTGTTTCCCTTACAGACGTCAATAACGAAGGCAACGACGATAGTTTAGAAGAAATCGAAGTCACTTTTGAACACAATTTGGAAGATTATTTGGATGGGGCAGCGCAAAAAAGGTGCGCCATTTTGTTTTTACTACCTCTATTACACAACTGTACAAATGTAAGAAAAAGAAAAAGAGATGAATATTTCCTGAATACCAATGTATTTTTATTAAGTATTTGTGTGCTGTTTTTTTATCTTGATGTTAATAATCTTATTAGAAAAACGGCTTTGGCGTTGTTTATAAATTAAAATTACTGGTATTGTTTTTTTTACACAATTTATTTAAAAGTACAAAGTATTTAGTTATACCAAAATAAATTATATCATATTATTGTATTCTCAAATCGAGTAAAGACTGTCTTGAATTCATAGCAAGCCATAAATATTTGTTGTCATTATTTACTACACTTACGTAAAGCCCCATTTTAGCGCGTAGCAGTCTTTTTGTTTTTATATTTTTTTGACGAGTCGGGTGTTTTACTCAGTGGTGTAATATTATTAGCATTAGCATTCCTCTCCATATTTATTGGTCGGGGTTCCTGTGGAAGAGCCCCATCTATAAAATGGTCTCTGTTTTTCTGTCAGTAGTGACCTTCACATCCAACAACATCCAATATCTTGTACTTTGTCTTCGGTTCTAAAGGTCCCTATTCTCAAATGTGCAGTGCAAGGCATTGGCGTTTTACCACCTAATGTTTTGTTTTGTTTGTTTTACAGTGCCAAAGGACGACAAACTTCCTTGATTGCCTTACAGAAAGCATTGAAGTCTAAAGTACTCACAGAATTTGTTGCAAGCAGGTAAAGTTCTGCCACCAGTGATGGAGCTAAGGGTTTAGTACACAGCTACCAACTCCAACTCTGGTTCCATTGCAAATGAAAACTGCAGTAAGCAGTCATGTTCAGGATTTTGTATAGTGTTTGCTAAATAGAGATGTATCTAGAGGTTTGTTTAAACAGTAAATAAGGAAAGTATTTAATTTTGGTCATCATCCAAGGTGTTAAATAAATGGTGTCTGCTTAATAGATAGGCATCACAGTAACTATGCATATGTTTGATGCAACAGTTTCTTCAGCTGAAGTTTTTGAAACTGCTTTCAATGAAAGCTGAAGGTGTAAATGTACATAGGTGTATGTTGCTATTTTTCATGGCTCATTGAAGTAATAAAAAACTTGCTATCCAGACTATTGATGATTTGAACTGCTAAATCTCATCCGTAACATGAAGCCTTAGATCTTTTGTTGTGTTTAAGCAGTTACATTCATTCTCAATTACACACACTGCTATAGCAATTATTACAACAATTATAACAATTATTGTTTCTGTTGCGATGAAGGAGCTTTAGGTGGACTTCAATCAAGCCGTTTCCATGACATTCTATAGGCACGTGCCCTTACAGCTTTGTGTTTTCCGACAATGAAACGCCTTGTAGTTGACGTCCACCAAAATCTTTTCCGTCACTACAGAAACAATTGCTAGAGGGCACGTGTGATTGAGAATGGCTGTAATATCATCAAATAAGGCATGAGATTGCATGTCTGAAATAGAGGATATCACATGGGCACGCGGAGATGCGAAATTTATCTTCGAGTGTTGAAAAGATCTCTTACGAGTGAGAGATTTTCAACACGAGAAAGTAAGTTTCGTATCTCCAAGCGACCATGTAATATTCTTTTTATTATAAATTTATCCATAAAATCAACTTAATAAGCTTTTTATTATTATAAAGAGTTTTTATTCATAAATTAATAGTTTAAATACACATGGTAACAATATTTTCACATGAAAATATCAGTTTTTCGAAAAGGAGAAATATAGGTATTTTATGGATAATTATATGATAATACTGTGTTCCAGACAATCTCAAGTTTTCATTGTTTATAATGTTCTTATCTCATCCAGAAATTTTAATTTTTTAGAGACTTGACTTCGATATTATTTTCTTTTTTTTCTCTCTTAGGATGATGACATTCCAGGATTTGGTGGRAAAATGTCTAAAAAGAGGTAAAATACAGAAGAATAGTTTTAGCATTCTTGTCATTCTGTGAATTGTTGCCCATTCAAAAGCAGATTGTACTGTAAAGTTTATATTTCTGATAATTTTCTAATTCTCATGTTATGAACATTTAAACATGATACACTTATTTCAATAAAGTTAGTTACCAAAAACCTAGAAAGCTGTGATCGCTGAGAATCACAGGAAATGTTACATATTCAACAAGTAAAGGTTTTGACACAAACTGCAGTAGTTGAAGATGCTCAGAGGAGGTGAACTTGTAACTGGTAGAAGATCTCAAGTCTATCAACAGTGTTATCAAGCGGTTAAAACATGTAAAATGGGGTAAGATGTTAAATAACACTAAAAAAATATATAGTTTAAGTGCAACTTCTTGAAGTCTTAAAGGTTTTTCCATGCCATATGCTAATGCTGTGACGTATGAGGAGTAATCATTTAATATACAAAACACTACTGGTACAGATAAATTAAATTTGAAATACGTCAGTTTTCCCCATTGCTCTTATAGAAATGATTGCAAGTTAGTTTTCCAATAGAAGCTGGTGTTTCGAATTACGAGGAACAACAAATAACCATAAATGCCTCCTCATACGTCCYACATTAGCATATGACATGGAAAAACCTTCCTAACTTCAAGAAGCCGCACTCAAACTATGTAATTTTTTCGGGTTATTCAACATCTTACCCCATGTAGAATCAATACTGAGAATATTGTCAGAAGGGTGATAGGCACTTTTAAATGAATGTTTATATAATTTTCATGCAGGGCAAGCAGAAGATCGTGTCCTTGCATCTTCTATTGCATCCTTGGTATGCATTCAGCTTGGTGTTGAGAGTGAAGGGTTCTTCAAGGTAGTTAAGCCTATCCTCACAATGATCATCCAGGACCCAACAGCAAGCATTGGTGCTAGAGCAAGTGTAAGTTATTGTTTTTTGATACAACAGGGTTTATATCTAGTACCATTACTTAAAGATACTACAAATCCAAGGGGTTGCAAGTGTGCAGTAGGGGTTAAATATTGCTTTTCAACACTGAGTCCTTAAAAGCCATTCTAATTTTATTGAAAACTCCGAAACAACCTCTGGGCTGATCAAAGTCAGGGCACTGCTAACTCACAGATGGAATCCTGAAACAACCTCTGGGCTGATCAAAGCCAGGACCTGGCTAAATCACAGATAGAACCCTGAGACAACCTCTGGGCTGATCAAAGTCAGGGCACGGATCGACTCACAGATAGAACCCTGAGACAACCTCTGGGCTGATC